CAAATGGGGCCAGAAGGAATGCACGTAATAGTCAAAGAATCTGTTACATGCCATCACCTGATGACATGGGCCCGGTCTTGACATGTTAACACAGTTCTTGGCAGTTCCGTATTGCTCTGTTATCCATCTCATACAGGTAATCCCTGCAGAACACTTCTTTATTCCTCAGGTGGTAAGATCAAAATCTGACTTGGCCAAGATAGAGATTACCAGGGCTGACAAAAGTTTCATCTAAAGCATCAGTGCTAGGATGAAGGGTATGATCCAGGGACTGGAAGAAAGCAGGAGGCCATTTCCTTTTACACTTCAGGTAGTTCAAAGTTTTGCCTACGGAGCCCTGTGACTCTATTCCCTTCTAGAAGCACATAAGACATGTTTTTGATAGAGGCAACATCCTTTTTTCACTGGCAGACTTGCAACTTCTGTCATCCTGCTTCCTAAGGTGTAGGTTTTTGGAAACATTTCAAAAATGTGACATGGGTTCCTAATTACCAGATTTGGCTGTAGAACTGCTGCTCCTCACAGAGGAGATTAGGACGTCTTCCAGCACTGAGCTATCAGCTGCCGAATATAGCTAAATGTTTTGGGTTTGATATTGGGGTTTTTTTTTTCTGTTGAACCCTAAGGTTTCATGAAGCTTTTACCTTCTTAGACTTTCTCATTTATGGCAAAGTGAAACTTTGTGAAAAATCTAGCAAAAAACCCCAACAGTTCCCTGAACAGTTCTCCCTGTAAATAAAGAAGTGATTGAACCAAATGAGGGTGGGTTTTTTTTCCTTTTTTAAAATATCCCCTTCCCTCCAGAAAGCAAGAAGATGGTAGTCACACCCAGAATTTTGTAGTTGAATCTTGGCTTAGTGATTTTACAGACAACTCTCCCTTTACAGATAATCATACTGCTTTTCCCACATGAACTACATGGACAAGACTTGAAAAGTATTATGAGGACTTCTTTGCTGGTTTCACATTTTTAGGTCTTTCAAATCTTTATGGCTATTGCTATGCTGAGCAATAGTTCTGCTCCAGGAGGTATCCTAGGCTTGCCATATCTACGGGCTGAGAAAACTGGCTAGACTCATGAAAGCAGGGAACAGGGTGTGTGTAGGTCAGTGTGCAGATGGGTCTTCTTCCTAGCATAGGAGTAGTCTGAGTGTGAGATGGGCAAATGAAGTAATGAATAGGGGACATTCCCAGGTTACACTGTATAAAACTGAGTGCATTCTATAGAAATGAACTTGATCTTAATTTTCTGTAAAGCACCAGTAGGTTGTCTTAGACAAGCTCAGAATTTCTAGAACGCTCTGTCATCATTTTATTATTTTTAAACTCTTAGTACTCTGGTAGTTTAAACACTGACTTGAAATTTCTAGACGGCTTTGCTGTCTTTTCTTACCATTTGGCCTAAAATGTTGCAGAAGATGGGAACAGCTTTGTGATATATTCTTGCTGTGCACTGTAAAGTACAGATAAATTCTAAGCTATTTACCTTTAATAGTATTTTCCTAGAGATAAAGCATAGGGGAGCAGGTCAAAGAAGCAGCAGCTTCTGCCATGCCTTCCTAGAGCCGCTGGCTCTGGAAAGCCCCGGCAGCTCTGGGACTCGGAGAACATTCCCTTCCAGATGCTGCTGGGGCAGACAGTGGATGAGCTAAGTCCCTGCAGTAAGAGCCCTCTCCTGGCCCGCAGCTCATTTGGCGGGGTAGTGGCAGCCAGCCTCCTGCTACTTGCACTCACTTGCATAGTGCTCAGGGCTTGTGCCTTTCACTCTCTCTTCACTTTTTGTGAAACCTGGAGCTGAAAAGAAGCACTAACAAAGCAGGGAAAGAAAAGGGATCTCGAGCTCCTGTGTCTCTGCTTGTCTATGAGCTGGGAGGCTCCAGGGGGGGCTGAGCAGCTTTCTGACAAGATCTGCTTTCCCGGTACTTGCAGAAACACACTGGTGTTTCTTTGGGTCATTGCCTGAAACTGGAGGATTCAGCGATTTACTCAAACCACCATCAACAGTGCTCATCTATGGGACTTCCCT